TATTTGTTTATGTAAAACCTTTTTGCTAAAAGGTAAAAAAAAAAAAACAAACACGGTTGCTGTAAAAGCTTAAAACGTGTTAGCTGATGTTCAGCTTTAATGTGTTATTGTATCTAAAGCTGTTAGTCCATCTAACACTACCCTTCCTCAGACTGACAATGCTGCTGTCTCTGTTGATCCGTCATCCAGAATGGGGCACTCTAATACACGAGGTGTGTTACTGATCAGATCACCAGGTGAAAACAAAGGGAAAAATCCTAAAAAAAAGAAAACTAATGCAGCCACCACATCTAAAGATTGGTAATCTGCAATATATTACATTTTTGGTTTTGGGTTTAATACTGCACTAACAGGAAGTTCCATTTTTACATGTATCATGACATATCCAGACTGGCAGGCTAGAAACTATCTGGCAGCTATTTGCCAAAATACTTGAAAAGCCTGAGCAGTTAACTGGGTTACGGACAAGTCTATGAGCTTAGCAGTTTTGGTTAAGTGTTTTGATAAAGTAAAAAAAAGAATTGTGACTCATAAACAATTTACACTTAGTCCCCTGCACACTACTGAGCTTATTCTTTTTGAAACAAATATAAAACCTATAGCATGCATTTTGAACAAACTCCATATAAGCAATGAACACAACATTCTCTGAGTAAAGAACGCTTGGTAATAGCCAACACCCTTTATTTGTTTCTTTATTGTACTGCCGATATCTTTGGCATTAATTGTTATCCTATTTACTGTGTCACAACCAATATTGTATAAAAACCATAAGCTTAGATAAAAAAACAAGAAAGAAAATAATAAAGAACTGCACATGTGTAAAACTAGGCAGTCCTATGTTCCAACAGACTTGCAACAAAGCTGCTGAACTGATTTTACTGCTGCTTGCTCTGAATGGGGATTCTGATCAGGTCCTGAACTATCTTCAACTATGCTATAAAACTTGCCAAGCTGGTGAACTGTGACAGATGTGATTTGAAATTGCCTGACAGTATATTAGTTGGGGTTGAGCTGGATGGTAAAGGGAGGTCAGGCAGGTGTTGCAGCAATATTCAGCTATAGCAAGGCAGAGAAACATCAGAATGGAGAGGTTAACAAACAACAAAGAATCTAAAGGATAAGCTAGAGATGAAAGTTACACAAGCCTAGGTCAGTGAGTTCACACAGATTATTAGTCAGGATCCAGATGAAAGTCAAGTGTCAAACCCAAAGAAAATGAATATAAGCAAACAGAGATAGAATGAGAGAAACTCCAGGTTAAAGGTAATATCTTAAGGTGGAACGTTACAATACTATACTATAACATAACAGTGATAAAAAACAATCTTCTTTAGCAAGAAACATACATTCCACATTAATAATTAGGCTACCAAAATTAGTGTGTTTTGTAAATTGCCACCAGCATTGCTCCTGTTTCTTCTTGCTGGAAGCTGCCATTTTGCTGAGCCTGTGGCCCTTCCCACTGATCCTTACTCCCATCACTGGGCCCTTTAGTATGGTCCCACAGTGGGAACCTTTCACATGTTCTGCAGTTATTTATTTATTTCAGGTACTTATATAGCGCTGTCGGTTTACGCAGCACTTTACATATATATTTGTACATTCACATCAGTCCCTAACCCTCAAGGGGTGTACAATTGGCCCCCTTCCTGCTGTCTTGCCCCCCCCAGGGCCTGGTTACAAGTGCGAAGCGACCCTGGTAGTTCTGCCACTGGTGTCAGTAGTTTTTTATTTTTGTTTTTTTTAGTTGTTGATTATTTTTTACCATTTTATTATTTTTTTTATTTTATTGTTTATTATTTTTCCAATTTGTTTAGAAGCCCAGTTGGGGGGCTTTGATGTTTACTATTGTCATTTTGTTATTTATTTTTGTAAATTTTTTCTATTTTTATAGATCCATTGGGGGTTAGCATTGTATTTAATGTATGTATTTATTTTATATCTGTTTGATATTTGCACAGCAGCTAAATTTAAGGAAACTTGGTAGGACAGCACAGCTTGTTTTTTACAGTTTAGGATAGCACAGAACTAACAACAGCTCAAAACCTCAATGTAAAGATTTCAGCACTTCATAAATGGCAGGTTTACAGGTGAAAATCGAAAAATTTGAATATCGTGCAAAAGTTCATTTATTTCAGTAATGCAACTTAAAAGGTGAAACTAATATATGAGATAGACTCATTATATGCAAAGCAAGATAGTTCAAGCCATGATTTGTCATAATTGTGATGATTATGGCTTACAGCTCATGAAAACTCAAATCCACAATCTCAGAAAATTAGAATATTACATGCAATCAATAAAACAAGGATTGTACATAGAACAATATCGGACCTCTGAAAAGTATAAGCATGCATATGTACTCAGTACTTGGTTTGGGCCCCTTTTGCAGCAATTACTGCCTCAATGCAGCGTGGCATGGAAGCTATCAGTCTGTGGCACTGCTGAGGTGTTATGGAAGACCAGGATGCTTCATTAGCGGCCTTCAGCTCTTCTGCATTGTTCGGTCTCATGTCTCTCATCTTTCTCTTGGCAATGCCCCATAGATTCTCTATTCTCTATGGGATTGCTGGCCAATCAAGCACAGTAATCCCACGGTCATTGAATCAGGTTTTGGTGCTTTTGGCAGTGTGGGCAGGTGCCAAGTCCTGCTGGAAAATAAAGTCAGCACCCCCATAAAGCTCGTCTGCAGAAGGAAGCATAAAGTGCTCCAAAAATATCCTGGTAGACGGCTGCGCTGACCCTGGACTTAATGAAGCACAGTGGACCAACACCAGCAGATGACATGGCTCCCCAAATCAACACAGACTGTGGAAACTTCTCACTGGACTTCAAGCATCTTGCAGTGTGTGCCTCTCCATTCTTCCTCCATACTCTGGATCCTTGGTTTCCAAATGAGATGCAAAAGTTGCTCTCATCAGAAAAGAGGACTTTGGACCACTGAGCAACACACCAGGTCTGTTTTTCTTTAGCCCAGGTAAGACGCTTCTGAATGTTGTTTGTTTTTCAGGAGCGGCTTGACAAGAGGAATACGACATTTGAAGCCCATGTCCAGGATCCGTCTGTGTGTGGTGGCTCTTGATGCACTGACTCCAGCCTCAGTCCACTCCTTGTGAAAGTCCACAACACTTTTGAATGGCCTTTTCCTGACAATCCTCTCCAGGCTGCGGTCATCCCTGCTGCTTGTGCACCTTTTTTTTCCACACTTTTCCCTTCCACATAACTTTCTATTAATGTGCTTTGATACAGCACTTTGGAAACATTCAACTTCTTTTACAATTACCTTTTGAGGCTTTCCCTCCTTATGAAGGGTGTCAATGATGGCTTACTGCACAACTGTCAGGTCAGCAGTCTTTTTCCATGATTGTGATTCCTACTGAACCAGACTGAGAGACCATTTAAAGGCTCAGGAACCCTTTGCAGGTGTTACGGCTTAATTAGCTGATTAGAGTGGGACACTTTGAGCCTAGAATATTGCACCTTTTCACAATATTCTAATTTTCTGAGATTGTGGATTTGGGGTTTTCATGAGCTGCAAGCCATAATCATCACAATTATCACAAATCACGGCTTGAACTATCTTGCTTTGCATGTAATGAGTCTATCTCATATATTAGTTTCACCTTTTAAGTTGCATTACTGAAATAAATGAACTTTTGCACAATATTCTAATTTTTCGAGTTTCACCTGTATATTCCTTCCTGTCCAGACCACTTTATTCATGTTTCAGATGCTTAGGTTAAGATAACCTCTTGTCAAATATTACCAAAAAAAATCCTTTGTGGCTACTCCTTATACTATACTACCACTGATATTGTTTTGCATTTGTAGTCTTTATATTTGCTTCTGTATTATTATATTTTTTTCTTTGCAGAAGAACTTTCATTTATGAAGAGATTCGGATAAAAACATTTGAAAGTTTATGGGTGTTTCTTTAAGAAGTAATAGGAAAAAAAGTAGAAAAATATTCCCTGTTTTTGTGAAACACCTTTACAAAAATAGAACAAATCCAGATATGTAATAGCTTAAGTCTATAAACTATAAGGATATAATGTAAGTGTGCTGTTTGTGTAATGCATTTAGTGGCAGAGCTCATAGATAAAGATTCTTTTTTCAGCTTAGGAGAACTTGTTATAAACCAGATGTATTTCTTTTTCACCTGCTGGTGGTGCTGCTCTCCACTGGCTAACAGCATGCGATTCTAGAAGCCACACACCGGTGACTCCCCAAAGCATTTGCATCTCTCTCATAGGTACACACCTGCCATTAAAAGTAATCCCTAGTTCACACTGTCACATCGCTTGTGACTCGCACAGGAATTGCACCATCATTTTGAGCCCATCATTTTGTATGGCTCAAATCGCACAGCATCCGCATAAAAAAGGGTGCAGGCACCTTTTTTTTTTTTGCTGCACTGGAATTGGATCGCATGGGTGTTCATATCCCTGCAATCCAATTCAGGTAAACCTGCGTTTGGGATGTTGTTAACTTTTAATTGACACCCGCAGCAGACTGCATGAACACAGTGTAATTGCTATGCAGTGCAATGAGGGGAAAGCAGAGATTCCTGTGCATTTTCTGCATCGCATCAGTGTGAACACAGCCTTAAAAGTGACAATAAACTCTGATTTAAAAAAATATTTTCAAGTATGTATTCTTAACTCAGAAAAGTTTGATTGTTCCCAGTCTCCTTCAAAAGTCCAAATTCCTTTTTTTTTTTTACTTCCTATCAGAAGGTGACTTCATTTATTCTCCATGGTCCCAATGCATGCAGAAACATAGCCACCCTATATTCCTTGCTCCTGAGTTGGACCAAGGACTATAATACATTAGAATGCATTAAGGTAAAAAAAAACCATCTGCCTTTAGAGCCACTTTAAGTGACAGAGTCTAAAAATATATATGTGTACACTTTCCCTTGATTCATTAAAGGCACATATATCAGTCTCTGGTAAAACATCTAAAATTTAGAAAGAGGAAATCAAAGTTGAACTCACCTCATTAATGAAGTCTCCAATATCACCAGGATGTGGAGCAGCAGACCGAACCGGGTATTGAGGCTCTGCGTGAATGGGCCTTTCATCCATGCGCCGTATCCCTACAGGTTTTATGGAGTCTGGTTCTAATGTGTCAGGCTGTTGCAGCTGGCTTAAATCATAATCCTGCAAAATAAAAGTAAGTTGTTTAAATATGACAAGTAAGAAATAACAAAAACCAAATATCAATGTCCATGTTCTGCCTAAATTACAGAAAACATAAATACTTTTCTAATGAAGCAATTATACACAATTATATTGGGCTTTTATGTAAATTTTATAATATACTATAATCAGGCTTTCAGTGGATGTTCAGTGATTTTGTTATGAACAAGTCACAAATTTGGTATAATGGAAATACTGAAATGCAGTGTTCATGAAAGGTGTCATTATAGGCGATAAAACACCTTGGAAGTTTCTGAAGCAATCAACACCTCAAGAGAAAGAAAGTTAACTAATTTAGTACGTGTGAAATAGAAAGCTGTATTCATAGTTTTCTTATAAGCTATAACATTTACTTTTCCACTTCAAAGTGGGCATCTACATTGAACTAGAGAACGCTTAAGCTGTCATCAGCTTTACTTTAAACTCATCTTAAATTTAATTAAAATTGGTTTTAATTTAAATGTTACCTCATCTTATTTGTAGGAAAATTGCAAGACATTCCCTATAGTTAAAAGGAGTTTTGTGTAACAACAAAAAACTGTTTAGTTGTGCAGTTATTGCTTGTAACAGATGCTTTCAACAGAGACCATGGGGGAGATTTACTAAAACTGGTGCACACAGAATCTGGTGCAGCTGTTCATAGTAACCAATCAGCTTCTAACTTCACTTTGTTCAATTAGGCTTTGGAAATAAAACCTGGACGCTGATTGGTTACTATACACCAGATTTTGTGTGCACCAGTTTTAGTTAATCTCCCCGTATATGTATACATGAATTTAACACAAATGGGCTAGTAGCACCCAAAGTAATGTAACAGTATTTCGGGCCAAAGTTGGGGAAAACAAACAATAGAAGGAAGGAAAATTACTTGTGGTGATGTAAGGGAATCCCCTCCCACAAAATTCACTTCATGGTGCTGTCGATTGTCCTAACAAGTAAGGATAAAGAAAAAGCCAAGTTCTGCTACTGGATATAACATGTGACTTTTAGAAACTAGAACAGCGATCAGCTTTCAGCTCACTATTGTTGAACAGGCTGAAGGCAGTTCTTGCTATCTTTCAAATATACCCTAACTAAAGGAAAAGTACATCAGAAATGAAATGCAGCATGATTGGTAGACAAACCTTTTCTTTTACTAAAGGCAAATAGGCTATTCACTTTGCAAGGTAATTTTCCCTTAGTTTAGTGAATAAGGTGCAGCTTTTTTTACTTCTACTTCTACCAATAGCACTTTTTTTTAATTATCCTTTCACGTTATTGAGTAATCTTAGCAAAGTGAATTTTCCGCACATTCACTAAGCTAAGGGAACATTTCCTGCAAAGGTGAAATCGCCCTGCAAAGTGAACAGCTTATTTGCCTTTAGCAACTCACCCCTATACAGGTAGTTCCCGAGCTACAAACATCTGGCTAACATATGACTCACACTTAAGAATGGAGGCAGCGTGATGTCACACTACTCCCAGAAACTGCCTCAGAAACATCTTCCTGCTCACTGTATGCTGCCATCTACTGTCCGGTGGATCTATCAGCAATCCTACATCACTGAATGGCCCGTTAACCCTTCCCTATGCTATCTAAACCTTAAAAATATTTTTTTTGCTGGAATTACACTTAAAAAACATGCCTAACTTACATACAAATTCAACTTAAGAACAAACTTACAGAACCTATCTTGCCTGTATATCATGTTATTGGGGCAAGGTTCTATGACTTTAACATCTTTGGTTTGGGTATATGAGCTAGAATATATCCAAAGTATAGCCTGGTTGAAGAATAAAGCTTTTGTGATAATCAGCATAGCAGTTCAGATCATGTTATATACCACAACATACTGTATCCAAAGGCTTAAGATGATCAAGCTGTTTATCCCTGGATCAGGACATAATAATTATATGTATGAGTCTAGCAGATACTCTGTCCAGTCATTTACTGGAGAATAATCAATGCTCTACATTGGATTTTTTTTCAAGCTGATCACTGTCATTTCAAGGATGGCTCCAAAGTTCCTCTTGCTACATATACCTGTACATTTAGCAGATATGTGCATTAATAGTTATGTATAAGAAACAGCGGTCCAACAGTCATATCATGCTCCCACATAGAATACCTATCTAATGTGTATTACCATCTTGAAACACCATATCTCTACTGGGTGGTTTGGCCCAGTCCTGTTAAAGACACCAGTGCATATATTTCTGAGGAAACTGTAACTGGCGAATAGAGCACACACATTAGTTAAAAGCTTGTTTAAACATTAAAACAGTCAAATAGCTTTTCTTTACCTGATCTTCCTCTCCTCCACCTTCTTCATCATACTTTAATATGTTATCTCTGACGTCATCCTCTGGGTCAATAAGGAGCTGCTTGACTTGCCTCTCCTTGTCCCGGCGCTTCATCCACACCACAAACATTAATACCAACGCTGAAAAACGAAAAGACATTTTTATAATGAGTGAGATATAAAAATGCCTGTAGATAAAATAACTGCTGATTGCAGTATGTGACTAAGGCACCAGCAGATTCATTAGATTTGCAAGAAGACTAATAGTAAAATGACATTTGGCTTGCACCCATAATAAAATTTTCACACCCAAATGTTTCCAAATCTTGCGCTAAACATATCTGATTTCTCTTGCAGACAAATTAAGTCAGGCAATTAGTTTAACCAAGGCCTTTAAATATTAATATGCTTTAACTTGAACAAGTAAATCAATTTGCTTTCAACATCAGTTGTACCAACTGTAAAACAAATCTGTAGAACACAAACAAAAGTCAGGAGACTGTATATCATCTGTACTGAGGAGGTTTTACACAACTTATGCCTTGGAAATATAACATGATTTTGTGGAATCAGAGGTGTTTGTCCAGTACACCTCGCCTGCGGCATGTAAGTGCATAGCAAACTGGAAGTACAACCGATGTCTTTTACAAAGCACAAAATACTCAAGCTGTGTCATTATTTCCTAGTGGTCCTATTAAAGTTAATCTTACAGACAACAGTGGCCAGTGACAAAAAACTACTGTCAGTGGAGTTGATTTATTAAAGGCAAATAGGATGTTCACTTTGAAAGGGAAGTCGCACTTTGCAAGGGAATTTTCCCCAGATCTTAGTAAATGTGGTAAAACTTCACTTTGCAAAAGAGTACCCAATCAATTGCAAGAAAAATAAAAAGCAGTATTTTTGCTTGCATCATGATTGGATAATGGAAGGCAGCAGAGCCTCACCTTATTCACTAAGCGCTATGGAAAATGCCTTTGAAAAATGTACAGCCTAGTTGTCTTTAGTAAATCAACAGCAATGTCTATTTAGAAATGCCAGTGCACATATCTCTGGCCTGATGTACAATATGTAATGCACTGTTTTGTAGTTCTTTCAGAGTATAGCTATCTGTGAGAAATTTATTCCAAAGCAAATACTTTTTTGGTTTCTGCTCCAGAAATGGATCGTAACAATGCAATAGATATACATGGAATAAAGGGGTACCAGTACTGCTGCTGCTGCTGTGTGTAATAGTGATAGTTTGCTACCGTTTTCTAATCATATGTCATTATTCTATAAGGCCTTTAGAATAGATGGAAGAATACATACAGAACAATAGTATCAATTTATATACAAATATTAGTTTAAAAATGATATGTGCATATGGGTCTTGAGAACGCCCGATGGGAGGGGCGAAACGCGTTGACGCATTTCCGGTTGTTACTTCCTTACGTCTGACGTCACTTCCGGTGAGTGGAGCGCACGCTGAGCGGTGCGTTCCAGTGGCCATTTTTTTGGGATCTGTAGATGTGTGGTCTCTGTGGAGCTTCTGCTGTAACCTGGAGCTGTGATGTGAGATTCCGTGGGAGGTTGCCTTACATCTACTGTTCATCTGGAAAGAAGCTGGTCCTAATAAATATGCCTTTTTAAAATGATTTTAATGTGAGTGGCCTTAATCCTTGATTTTCACTTATGAATGGTGTTTTGCAATATTACACTATCTGAGATTTTTTCTCCCTGGTTGGATGGTGGAGCCTATGGTGGAGGTGAGGATTCCTACAGAGTGGATATGAAAGAGGGTTTAGGAGCCCATAAATTCCTTAAAGGCGTTTCATTCACCTAAATCTGGTGAGTGCATTTGATGTTGGTTTTCACGGGTGGAAGGTGAAGTTTCTTTATAATAGAAGAAGAATTTGAAAAATTTCTTTTTGCACAAATATATTTTTGAGATTTTTTGAACTTTGGTTTATTAATTTTGATGGACTTCACTATTAATCTAATTAATTATAAATTAATTTTCTATATATGTTTGCACTTTGTATGTTGATTTGATGTAGAGGTCTATGTTTGCGCTGTTTATCTTTATTTTTCACAATATGCATATATGTCCTTGCAAAATATATATATTATTTTTTTCTTTAAACATATTGGTTATGAAATGTAGTAACTGACTTCCCAAGTGGGGGTTATTTACTAAAGCTGCATAGAAACCAATCAGCTTCCAGGTTTTATTGCCAAAGATGAATTGAACAAGCTAGGGTTAGAAGCTGATTGGCTACTATGTACAGCTGCACCAGATTCTAAGTGCATCAATTTAAGGCTACGTTCACACACTAGCGTTGTGTGCAGGCGGCAGAGAGGCATTTGGGAAGCATTTTTACCGCTTCCCAAACGCCTCTGGCAATTCTGCACATTGCAGCACATGGTGCTGTTCTAACAGGAGCGGTAGCATCGCGGCGCGGTGTGGCAAAACAGACGCCTTTGGACGAGTCAGGAGGCGTTGAAGCCTCCTATTATTGTCAATGGTGCAGCTCTGCAAACGCCCGGCGTTTGCGGCGCGCTTACGATGCGGTTGCGGGGCGTTTGCGTAGCGGTAACACCATTCAAACTTCATTCTAGGCGTTTGTGGGGCGTTTTTAATGCCTAGCAACCGCCGCTAAACCACGCATGCGGCATTTGCCGAGCGTTAAAAAATTCTCCGCAAATGCCGGACCAACGCTTGCCAAATACTATAGGGGCATTTGGCAAGCGTTGGTAAAACAGTCAAGTGTGAATGAGCCCTTAGTGAATCTACCCCAATATGTCACGCCTAGATAACAGGGATTGATAGTGGATTTTAGGGATTCACTTACATTATTTATCAATCTTACTGAGTACCAAAATCAAGGTTATTACAGTACATTTTATTTTATTTAATCACAAACTTTTTATTATCCATGAATATTTACTTCTCAACCTACTTCCCCTACTAAATCTCCAGACAGCCCTGTATTCAAACAGCAAGCAAAAAAAAGATTTAAACAGAAAATGTATTTTCAGAATAAAATATTAAATAAAGCTCACTTGGTTTGCTGAGTCACAAAGCTAAAGCAATGCTTTTCCCATAACACGACATGCATTGAAAAGATGCCAACTGCACAGTAATCTATCTTCATATTAGTGCAGAACACTGTACCTTTAATTTAAATGCCCTTGGAGTCTGCTGGGGGAAGAGAAATAATACTGTCAGTCAGTATGACATGGAGATGAGTGCCGTCGATCTTAGAATCACCGCACACTTCACTCATTTGGGCAGTCACGGGGCCAAAACCAGAGTGTGGAGCCACAGTGTGGCGGTGGAGGCAGCAGCAATGGGAGGCCATACAGCACCCTATGACAAAAATGGAACCCACCAGCAGTGTGAGGAGACCTGAAAGTGGCACATGGCAGAGTGTGGCATGGAGACAGCAGCAATGGGAGGCCGTTTACCAGGGACCCATGAGAGACTCTGGACCTTGGCAGCAGCATGAAGAGGCGGTACAGGGGCCCATGGCAGATACGGGCCTGGCAGCAGCAATGGAGGCCCTAATTGGACTGCCAGCACCCTAATGACAAAAAATGGAACACACCACCAGCAGTGTGAGGAAGACCTGAAAGTGGCACATGGCAGCAGAGTGTGGCAGGGCGACAGCAGCAATGGGAGGCCGTACAGGGACCCATGAGACACTGTGGACCTGGCAGCAGCATGAGGAGGCGGTACAGGGCCCATGGCAGATTACGGGCCTGGCAGCAGCAATGGGCGGGCCCGTAATCTGCCAGCACCCTATGACAAAAATGGAACCACACCAGCAGTGTGAGGGAGACCTGAAAGTGGCACATGGCAGAGTGTGGCGAAGGAGACAGCAGCAATGGGAGGCCGTACCTGGCAGCAGCATGAGGAGGCGGTACAGGGGGCCCTATTTTGGCAGGATTTACGGACCCATGTGAGGAGACCTGAAAAGTGGAACTGGAGTGTGGCGATGGACAGCAGCAATGGGAGGCCGTTACATGGGAACCCATGAGACACTCGGGACCTGGCAGCAGCATGAGGGCGGTACAGGGGCCCCATGGCAGATTACGGGCCTGGCAGCAGCAATGGGAGGCCCGTAATCTGCCAGCACCCTATGACAAAAAATGGAACACACCAGCATGTGAGGAGAACCTGAAAGTGGCACATGGCAGAGTGTGGAGATGGAGACAGCAGCAATGGGAGGCCCTACAGGGACCCATGAGACAGACTCTGGACCTGGCAGCAGCATGAAGAGGCGGTACAGGGGCCCATGGCAGATTACGGGCCTGGCAGCAGCAATGGGAGGCCCGTAATCTGCCAGCACCCTATGACAAAAAATGGAACACACCAGCAGTGTGAGGAGACCTGAAAGTGGCACATGGCAGAGTGTGGCGATGGAGACAGCAGCAATGGGAGGCCGTACAGGGACCCATGAGAGACTCTGGACCTGGCAGCAGCATGAGGAGGAGGCGGTACGGGGGCCCATGGCAGATTACGGGCCTGGCAGCAGCAATGGGAGGCCCGTAATCTGCCAGCACCCTATGACAAAAAATGGAACACACCAGCAGTGTGAGGAGACCTGAAAGTGGCACATGGCAGAGTGTGGCGATGGAGACAGCAGCAAATGGGAGGCCGTACAGGGACCCATGAGACACTGTGGACCTGGCAGCAGCATGAGGAGGCGGTACAGGGGCCCATGGCAGATTACGGGCCTGGCAGCAGCAATGGGAGGCCCGTAATCTGCCAGCACCCTAAAGTGGCCATGACAAAAAAATGGAACACACCAGCAGTGTGAGGAGACCTGAAAGTGGCACATGTTTGGGGCATGATTCATGGCGGATTTAGTCAGTTGTGTGTCAGGAACTGGTGGTTTGAAATCCAGACTAATCCACGCCTGATTCATTTTCACAAACGTGAGTCTCTCCACACTTTGGGTGGACAGTCGTGTCCTCCGCGGAGTTACAATACCTCCTGCCGCACTAAACACGCGCTCCCGATGCCACGCTACTGGCCGGGCATGACAGCCTTTCAAGGGCAAATTCAGCTAGTTGGGGCCAAAGGTCAAGTTTCGTTGCCCAGTAGTCAAGGGGATTGTCTACCTCGGTTGGCAGGGTGCTGTCCAAGTAGGCCCAAG